TAAATGTGGTGGGAGAAAGAGAATTTAAGTACGAATGTATTTCCATATAACACTATCACGATCTTCGAGCTCAAATGGAATCTTTCACCTTTTAAAAGGAGTTGTACTGGTTAATAATACATGGTTGAATCAGAGTAAGAGAATCCATCACTTTGGCATGCAAAAGAAATATGCAACGTATAGGATTTACTCACTCTATCTGAAAGAAGGCATAGAAAAAAGATGCCAAAACTATGTAAATAACTCAATACGGTACTTATGAAAAAATTGTTTATGAATATCTCGTACACTATATTTTCACTTCTCTATTAATTATTGAATATCCCAATAATACACATTTTTATTTATAAAAGTAAATATTAGAGTATTACATTTGTTCGAATCCATTTCGGTCTCCTTTACTACAAAAAATTGTGGCATCGTCACTTCAATTATTCATATCTATTTCTTCTCTCTTTTATGTCCTGAAAATTTAATGGAAAATGCTAAAAGTAAGAGTTGAAAATCCAGTCAGTGATCTACTAGCTTTTCTGATATTTTTCTTGCGTTGGAAACCTTGGATAGGAATTCTTTTAAGTTATTTATGTGTAGATGCTGTTTTACAAAATTTCAAAGAGAAAGTAGCGTTTAGGCTATAACGGTACATATGTTGCTACAAGTTTGAAATGTCTGGCAAAAAAAGTTTGATGTGTCTGTATTCAGACATAACTGAGAAATTAAAAGCTGAAAAATGTAGTTGGATGAAATTTTGGCTTCATTTAATAATTTATTCTGTTGCGTACTTAATTTCTGAAACATTTTCACAGCACGGACCTGAGACTGAACCAGCCCAGGTACGCAACCCTTCCAAATATCATGAAAGCAAAATCAAAGGTGATAAAGAAAGTGAGCCCGAAGGATTTGAACGTTGATATAAGATCTGATTTAGAAGTCGTTCAAGTTACTGAACCTCCCAAAAGGAAGGCAGGGGTCATACTCTCTTCTGTTGATCAACTTATTGACAAATTGAAAAACGAAGCTCGTGTAATTTGACGTGAGAAAACGCAGATTACCTCTACTATTGCAGACTTCCTGTCAGTGGAAAAATAATAAACAGTTTTCTTTTTTTTTTTTTTTTTTTTTTTTTTTTTTTTTTTTTTTTATGAAAAAATAACTAAAATTTTGTGCAGAAAATTAGCTCCAGCCAGGACCTCTCTACCTCTGGCTTAGTCTATAATTACAAAAGACCCACTGATTTTTAAATGAGACCCTGAAGTTTGTATTTTCATTCAAATTACGGCTCCCATCTTTTACTATTTTACTTTTAACCCTTTATAGTTTTAAGAAGCACCTTTAGTCAAAGGAATAAATGTTGGGGGTTATTCATGATACACTATAACTCTGAGGTATTTTTGTAACTAGCCATGTCCAAAACCATTGACCATAGTTTTGGTCAGCCTGGACCACCGAATGCTGGTTCGAGCCATTGATCAGAGGTTGAATTTGCCCCTCTTGGCTTATTCTGACTCTTCGACTGTCTGGCTATTAAAGTCTAACCTCAGGGTAAGCTCGTCAACCCATTGGGCTTGTAGGTTGATTTTGTATTTGAGCCTATAAAATGGGTGGCCTTTGGAAATTTCGAACTGACCTGGACCCAGCTAGTTCCGCCGTGGGAGGTAATCTTACATGAAGTTGAACTACAAACAGTTAAGGATGCGATGGCTATTGGTGGACCAAGTAACTTCTTTTTTTGTCCAACTCACTTCCTTTTTATGTGTGAGTTTGGGGAAAATTTGGCGAAATTGACCGATATTTCTGTTGAAAATATCATAAAAATAAACTAAAAATGAATCCCTAAATTAGAAAATAAAAAAGGGGAATTTAACTTTTCCAAATGTATAAAATACAAATTTCAATGATTTTATCTAATATAACCACTGTTCTAAAAATCGGCCTATCCGGTGCTCGGGCGCCTCCGATTTTCACAAATCGACAGAAAAAATCGGCCAGACGACTAGGCGGCGCCTAGGTGGACGTAGGCGGGCTTGGCGGGCTCGGCGGCCAGGCGGTTAGGCGGCGTGTAGGCGGACCTAGGCGCTCCTAGGCGAGCTCGGCTGCAATTTTTCAGTTTTTTTTTTTTAAATACAAATTACATTATTTTGTTTTCATGTTTTCTTTAATATCTATTAATATTATTATTTGGACATTGGTGTATAAATTTATTATAAGTTGAGATAGTTTTATTTTGTAGGTAGTTAAAATAAATAAAAAATAAGGTATTTAATATTGATATCTGGGCCCCGACTAGGCGGCGCCTAGGCGCTCTAGGCGCTAGGCGCTAGTCGAGCGCCTAGCGACTTTTAGAACACTGACAATAACCTTCCTGCCCATATAACTATTATAGGGAAAGATATATCTTCAGATGAATATGAAGAAATTTAATGTTCAAAAAATCCTATAATTTTACTCAATGTTTTAAATATCGTACGGTACCGGCCAGTATTACAGGTAATACCGGATACTGGTGATCCGACCGGTACGGGTACACTCTAAATACTGTTTTAGCCAAAATACCGGTTTCATACAGAAAAATATCAGTTTTACCGGCAAATACCGGCCAAGGTACCGGTCAAAATATTGATTTATGCCTTTTTTTTAAAAAAAATATTTTTTAATATATTTTCATTAATTTATTTATATAAATTGAAAGTTCTACACTTAATTTTAATATGTTTACATTGTTATTAGATGTTAATTAATTTTTGTATTAATTAAAATTAGTTTTGTATTAGACTTAGAGTTGTTACTTCATTTAATAAAAGTGTCAGTTGTAAATGTTGCCTATTTTATTTAGGGCTGTTTATAGGGTATAGTATAAATAGCAATATCCTGTACACAAACCCTAATCACTTCATTTTTCTCCTTCGTGTGTTCTATGACAAAATCGTCGGTCATTGTTCCATTTTTCATTTCAGAGTATTCTTTACAATTTGTTCTTTGATTGATCTGTTAATCTCAATATGGTATCATTCGCCGAGTGATTTTTTGATCCTCTTTCATTATTTCCGCTGCAGAACCAGATCTCTGTTGAATTTTTTTTTCCTCGCAACCCTAGATCTACTCCGATCTCCTGCGCTATTTGCCAATCTACTCCCATTTGCTTTGATTTGCTCCGATCTACTGCGATATGACGACTGCCACGCCTACGACCTCTACGATCTCGCCGTCCGATGATCCATCGACACCGTTTTACCTTCATGCGTCTGATAATCCTGGTGCGCTCATAGTTGCTGAGACCTTCAACGGCGACAACTACATCTCGTGGTCACGCGCTGTCACTATGGCGCTCAGTGTCAAGAACAAAGGTGGTTTCATCGATGGTACAATCACTCCACCTGCTTCTACTAGTACTATTCAGTTTATGGCTTGGCTGCGTGCTAATAAATCTTGTATTGTCCTGGATTCTCAATTCTGTTTGTAAAGACATTCGTCAATCTTTGCTATATTTCACATCTGCAAAAGAGGTTTGGGATGAGCTGCGTAATAGATATGCACTTAGCACTGGTCCTAGAGTTTTTCAGATTGAGAAATCATTAAGTACTATGAATCAGGGTGCATTATCTATTACTCAGTACTACAATTCCTTTAAAGCTCTTTAGGACGAGTATGTTACATATAGACCTATTGTTAGATGCACATGTGGGGCTTTTTCTGTATGTACTTGCAATATTTTTGAGTCAATGTCCCTTGTACAGCATCAAGATTCTGTTATGAAATTCCTTATTGGTTTACATGATTCATACTCCTCTCAAAGAAGCCATTTCTTACTATCCACACCTCTCCCTACTCTTTCCAAAGTATACTCTCTTCTACTCCAAGAAGAATCTCAGAGAAACCTTCATAACACCACTCCTGTTGATCCTATGGCTATGTTACTGAAAACAACCTCTTACCCGCCCAAACACAACAAACCTTCTTTCAACAAAGACAAGAAAAGACCTAAATGCTCTCACTGTGGTTACAATGGTCACACTGCTGAAAAATGCTTCCAACTCATTGGTTATCAATCCAACTGGACTGGACCTAAAGGACCTAGACCATCTCCTCACCAAAATGGACATCCTTACCCTTCTGCCAATATCTTACATACAAACACCAACACAACTGAGAATGGCAATTCCTCCAATGATAATGAACATTCTCATTCTTCCATGACTAATGATCTCTTTGCTGAGTTTTTAGCTTATAAACAAGCTAAGGAAACTACTGGGGCTGATCCTACTCCTATGATTGCCTCTACCATATCTGCTCAACCAAATGCTTCAGGTATCTCTTACTCTTGTGTGACTGCTAATGTGTTAAACAAAAATTCTTGGATTTTGGATACTGGTGCAACTGACCACATGATATGTGATATGTCTTACTTTTCTAGTTGTCCTACCTCTGTGAGTATTAATATTAATTTGCCTAATGGACAACACACACAAGCATGTCACATAGGTAGTGTCATTCTCAATGATAAGATTCACCTGACAAATGTGCTTTTTGTTCCTGGCTTTCAATTTAATCTCATATCAGTATCCAAATTGGTCTCAACTCACAACATTGCTGTTCAATTCATGTCATCATGTTGCACATTACAGGATTTGACCACTCAGCAAATGATTGGTTTTGCTGAACTGAAAGATGGTCTCTATCATCTGAACATTGGACCTAATTCTTCTGTTTCTAATTTTTCTGTTTCCAATGTATCTTTTCCTTTACCTGTAATTGCAAATACTTTCAGAAATCTACAATCTGGCATAACAGACTTGGTCATTTATCATACTCAAGAATGTCTACATTGCCTATCACTTTGACTGATTCCAAAAATGTTGAAGCTAAACCATGTGATATATGTCATTTTGCTAAACAAAAGAAGTTAAGCTTTCCTGTTAGTACTTCCACTGCTTCTGAATGTTTTGATCTCATACACTGTGACATATGGGGACCTTTCACTCCAAAATCTCATGCTGGTTATAATTATTTCTTAACAATAGTTGATGACCATAGCAGAACTACATGGATCTATCCCTTAGTCCATAAGTCAGATACAAAGTCTTGTATTCAACAATTTTCAAAAATGATTGAAACTCAATTTCAAAAGAAAAATAAAAATTCTAAGATCTGATAATGGGACTGAGTTTTTTATGTCTGACTTTTATGCCACTACTGGGATTATCCATCAAAAGAGCTGTGTTGAGACTCCTCAACAAAATGCTAGGGTAGAAAGAAAGCATCAGCATCTCCTACAGGTAGCTAGGGCTTTACTTTTTAATGCTCAAATGCCTTTACCTTTTTGGATTGATTGTGTGTTAGCAGCTGCTCATATCATAAATAGAATTCCCACTCCCATCTTGCATGGTAAATCTCCTTTTGAAGTTCTTTATGGTAAACTGCCTACATATGATCATCTCAAAGTCATTGGTTGCTTATGTTATGCATCTACTCTAACTGCTCATAGATCTAAATTTGCCCCAAGAGCATCTAAATGCATATTTCTTGGTTATCCACTCGGTTGTAAAGGCTACAAACTTTACAACCTAGATACCAAGAGTACATTGATATCCAGAAATGTTCAGTTTTATGAAACAATTTTTCCTTTTGCCACTACAAAAACTGAAACACCTCAAAACTTATTTCCTGTCCCAACTGAATCTCATTTTCCAGACAAAGCCATACTACTACCTGTTTCACATACACCTACACAGACTCCTTCACAACCACCTCATACCTCCCCCATAATACCCTCATCTGCCACTTTACCAACAAATACTCCACTTATCCCTACTTCTTCTTCTAACCCCATCCCTGCAAGAAAATCAAACAGACCACACAAAGTCCCAGCTTATCTAAATATATATGATCACTCCCTCAAACCATATTCTAACCTTGCTTCAACTGAACATTGTTTTTCTGGGATAACCCCTTATCCAATACAAAATTACTTGTCCACTTCAAATCTGTCTGCACCACATTCCTGTTTCACTGCAGCAATTTCAAAACTTACTGAACCTTCTTCTTACACTCGAGCTGCGAAAGATCCACTTTGGCAGGCTGCAATGAAAAAGGAACTTGATGCATTAGATAAAACAAAAA